GTGGCCCAGGCCAAGACCGAAGTGAAGTGGTCCAAGGAGGGGAAGCTGATTTCTCCTGGGAAGAAATTTAAGGTGGAAGCAGAAGGCAAATCCCGCCGCTTGATTGTGCAACAAGTAGAAAAGAAGAATGCCGGCGAGTACACCTGCGAGGCTGCTGGCCAGAAACTGACCTTTACACTTAATGTTCTAGGTATGTGTGGGACTCAAGTACAGTAAAGCAGGAAGAACGAGCAGAATTTTCCTCCATGTAGGCAAGAGAAAGGATAGGGGTGGGATTTGTATAGGATCTTCTAGATTTACAAATGTGATTCAGTGCCTCAATATTTGGTCAATAGCCTTGAGAAGAGAAGACTGAGGGGGGACATGAGATCCCTCTAGAAGGACCTCAAAGGCTGTCACAAAGAGGAAGGCCAAGATCTCTTCTTGCTGATCCCAGAGTGAAGGACACGGAATAATCAATTCCAGTTGCGACAACCCAGGTTCAGGCTGGACATCAGGACAAGCTTCCTCACTGTCAGAGCAAGACGACAGTGGGACAGGCTGCCTGGAGAGCTGATGGGCTCTCCCACACTGGAGACACTCAAAAGAGACTGGGCAGCCCTCTGAGTGGCATGGTGTGACTTGGTGTCCTGCAACAGCAGAGGGTTGGACTGGATGGCCTTCATGGCCCCTTCCAACTCTACTATTCTATGATTCATGGCAGCAGCTGCTCTTGCCTCTTCAGATTTCCTGCTCTTTTTGATCTGAATTTCTTACAGCCCCACCTCTTACTTCCACCTCTTTGGGCTGTACCAATATTTCATACAGGTTATGCTACCTATAAATGTTCCGGGAGCACTAAAAGCTGGAATGTCCAGTTGGCTGAGGGAGCCACCGCTGGAATGAAAGGGGCAGCTCTTCTTGGCAGATGCTCCAAGGTCAGGCAGGTGGACCTGTCAGATTTGGAGAGACCCTGAGAAGCAGCATCCTCAGATGCTGAACTGGGAGAAGTGGAGGGGCTTATCCCAAAGGAACCCTCCCCTGGTGCTCAGGAGGACGCTGAGAATCGTCTGGATGTTCTGCTGCAGGGAAGGGGCGAGAGAGAACTTTTGCAGGCCACCGAGCCTGGCCTGACTCTTGACCCCGTGACGCAGAGTTGGGAGAAATGGGGCAACCAGCTTGAGGGACGACGGGCATAGAAGGGGCTTGCCTGTCTCCAAAGCCCGCCCTCCCCAGAGTGGGGGACCCAGGGGTGCTCAAAAACAGGGTCTTGGATGTGGTTGCTAGATTGGGTTCGACGAAGGGCTCCGTGCATGCTCGGAGACTCATTCCTTGTTGGTTGTGCTTACTGGGAGTCTTTCGCCAAAGAACAGCCTGTTGTTCCAGAAGTGCGAAAGGGGGAACCCAGCTCACAACAGACAACCAACCTGAAGGAGCGCTTACATCCATATGTTCCCGGCCGCCCCTTGAGATCTGTGGGAGAGGCCCTTCTCTGGGAACCCTCCGTGAAAGAAATTAGAAGGGTGGGTACTCGGAGGAGGGCTTTCTCTGCAGTGGCGCCTAAGTTAAGGAATGCACTCCCCAGAGAGGTCCGCCTGGCGCCGTCGTTATTTGTTTTTCGGCGCCAGGCCAAGACCTTTTTATTTAAGCGGCATTTTAATTGTTAATATTATTGGATTTTATCTGGCCAGGGCGGCTTATTTTATATTGTTATTTTTGTATTTTTAATTTTAATGTTTATATTTTTAATTTAATGTTATTTATTTTTAACTTATTGTTGTAAGCCGCCCCGAGGCTTCGGCGAATGGGGCGGCATAAAAATGTTTTAATAAATAATAGTCAATTCATACCTCGGGCCTAAACCAGTGGTGATCTTCGGAGGGAGCAGAAGGCCACCAACCTCGTGTGAGGATGGTCCCCCGCTCCTGCTTTGCTCATGGCTGTTGTGTGCCTTCTCTCCACACCACAGAGGCTGTGACTGTATTTGCGAAGACAGAGAAAGTCGAGAAGGAGGTCACAGCTGTCCTGAGAGAGAACGCTGTTTTGGCCTGTGACGTGACCACCGCTGACGCTGAGGTGAAGTGGTACAAAGATGGGAAGCCCTTGAGTGCCAGCAAAAAGATCAAGATGGAGTCCAAAGGCACCTCCCGGAAACTGCTCCTGGAGCAGGTGGAGAAGAAGGATGCTGGGGAGTACACCTGTGAAGCCGCTGGGCAGAAGCTGACTTTCAAGGTGCAGGCGGTCGGTGAGTGCCCTTCCCTCTTCCGGGTGAGGGCCAGAGAGGGGAAAGGTGTGATGCCCGTGGCGACTTCTGGGAGAGCTGGAGCTGTTGCGGAGCTGGGCTTCCACCCAGAGCCAGCTCCAGGTTTTTGAGCGTCCTGCAGCGAGAGTCCTCCTCCCTCTGGGAGTCAGTTTGCTCCTCCTCCTCCTCCTCCGTTTCCCCATCAGGGCGAATGCCTGCTCGCTTGACAGCTGGAGAGCCCACAGGCAGGCAGGGGAACAAGCCGGTTCACCCGTGAGGAGGCCAAGCCAGCCAGAGGCCTTCCCAGGGCCTCCCCTTAGCACCCGCCCTGCCTTCCCCGCCTCCCTCTCCTCAGGAGACATCGATTTGCTGCCCACAGTCTTCACAGGCCTCTAAAGCGAAAGGTTCCATCTTTTCAATGAGCAGAAGATGTGGCTGCTTTCCTTGGTGTAAATACACCGATGTCCGTACAGGAGGTGACGACTGAGCAGTAGCCGTAAGCTGCCCCATTTCAACCTTCACAGGGCCGGTGGGGAGAACGCCAAGAAGGATGCTTCATCGTGTTGGAATAGCATCCACTTCTTCCTTCAGAGGGTTGTGCGGGAGGTTTAGTGGGTGCAGTGCAGCTGGCAGTCTCTCTTCCTATAAGAAGAACGGATAAGGCAGGACAGAAAAGCGTGTGGGGCAGGTTAGGGGTCACTTCAGAGGGGATGTGGTGTGGGTACCCCGAAGAACGCATGGCCACCTTCGCACATCACAGCAGCCGCTCTGGTAAGGTGGAGCAGCCGACAACCCTGCCTTCCCAGGTTGTCTAGCGTGGTATCCGGACCTGGACCTCTGGCTTGCTTCTCCCCTGGAACAACCCTAGAATCAGCCACGGATTCTTCTCTGGCTTGTTGGAGGAGAGACGGGCCGGAGGTGTAGGGCAGGCACAGGGCTAAGTGGCTCAAGAAGAGAGCATCTGTGGCTCTTTGAACCGTGCCGGCATGCGCTGGGCCTGTGCCAGCAACGCCCTTTCCCACCACAACCCACAATTTTAAGAACATCACGGGTTGCCATATTGTGCATGCCGATCCGACGCGCTTTGCGAGAAGGTTGCCCCTGGATGCCTCCAGCTGCTGTGCTGGACAATTTGTAGGTGTGCTCGTTGTTCAATCAGCTGATTTCATTTGAGACTCTCCAGGGTGTTTGGGAAACTCCAGTTGTTCATAGGTATTGTTGCATTTTTACCGTACAGAATCCGAGCCAAAATTCCAGGGGAAGGTTGCCCAGGAGAAGCCCATTGTGGTCCAGGAGGACAAGACCATCATCCTGTCCACTTCAGTGGTGCCTGAGGATGCTGAGGTCAAATGGTTCAAGGATGGAGTTGAGATCAAAGATGACAAGAAGCATGAGATGAAGAAGGAAGGAGGCACCCGAATCCTGACCGTGAAGCAGGCTGAGGTCAAAGACGCCGCTGTCTACACCTGTGAGACCAGGAGCGATAAGCAGCAGTTCCAAGTGCAGGTGCAAGGTGAGAAAGCCGCCAGAGTTAGCCAGAAGCGAAGTTTGGCAAATGCAGAACCTTGGAGCCCGCAGCCCAAGCCATGAATTTGCAAGCCTGTCTCCATCCCAGCTAGCTAGCTAGTGTAGGCATGTGTGTGTGTACATGTATTTGTGACACGTCGATCCTGTGTAATATAATACCATCTCTAGGCTCTTCACATCTAAATATTGATATCACAGTTAAAATGCAGGACTAAAATCCCATTGCAGTAACAGTGCAGAACAAAATTATTGCTCAGGGCAAGGAAAAGAAAGCATATCCCTCTAGAGCAAGAAGGGAAGCACCGACGGGACTTTCAGGAAGTCTTGTAGGGAAGACCGAGCGGGACTTCGGACTTTGAGGACCTGGCCACCACTTTCCTTGGTAGAAAGGCAGGGCACATATCAAATTATCTGCCCGGTTAGCATATTCATGGAGGGAAGGTCAAAAGCTCAGATGTACAGTGCTTCTTGTCCTCCTCAAAGAACCTGGATAAATATTGATGTTTTCCCTTGTTGCCATTAATGTCAGAAATTCCTGTGAAATTTGCCAAGAGGCTGGAGCCTGTCAAAGCGGAAATCGGAGGGACTCTGACCCTGAGCTGCGAACTGAGCCAGCCTGGGGGCAAGGTGGTGTGGCGCAAGGACGGGGTGGAGCTCAAAGCCGACAAGCGCTGCCAGATGCGCGAGGCGGGCGAAAAGCGGCTCCTGGTCATCACGGGACTCCGGGAAGAAGACAAGGGAGAATATTGCTGTGAAACCAACCGAGACAAGTGCAGCGTCCGGGTCACCCCCACAGGTACGCCTTGGGGTCCTGGCCTTCGCCGTCACATGGCAAGTGCCAGCAGGTTGCTCGGTGGCTCGTCCAGGCTTCCGTTGGCATGGCTGTCTGCTGAGATGGGGCTCTTGGGCCGATTCCAGACTTCCTGGGGTCCAGCTAGGTAGACCTGCCCCCTCCTCCTGTGCTGGTCACTTCCTCCTCAATGGCGAGTCAAGGGGTGGGCTTCTGTCCTTTTCATGCCCCCATGCCCCAGTTCTAAAAGGTTGAAATGTCTCTCCTGAGCTTTAACTAAAGGCAGCCGTAATTTCTGTGCTGGTACATCTGGCCCCTCCCATGACCGGGATGCAGCCCCCACGGCTCCTTCGTCATTGCATCTGGTCCACGGACTAAAAGGGGTTCACCATCTCTGTGCTATGGAGACACCCGGAAAGCGAAGTGTTGTTAGTATTAATTTCGTTTCTATACTGCCTGTAGCCAACGCTCTCTGGCTGGTTTACCACAAAGTGTAAAAACAATCCAATACAATAGATGGAAACAGTAAAAAGAATTCAAACAAGAATTTGAAATAGTGCAAAAAACATTAAAAGACAATAAAAAAGACCAAGAATAAAAGAAAGGCCCCTGGAAGTCATGTCTTTAAAGGCCCACCCAGGGAGGGTTGTGCCAAAGGATGGCCAATTTGGGGCACGGTTGGCCACGGCAGGGAGGTGGTCCCAGAGATGCGGGGCCAAGAGTTGCCTCTTTCCAGGCTCTGGAGCTGGGTGGGCCACCTGAGATGAAGGACGGGCTTGTCCTGGAGCAGTGGCTGGAGAGGCCACAAACCGGAGCAGCACAGGTAAAGGACTCCCTGAACATGAGCCACGCATGAGGGCGTTCTGGACTGAGGCCTCGCATGGGGCTGAACTACATGCTTCATTAGGCAAGCGCTGCTCCCAGACTCAAGTGTGCCAAGATCACGCAAACAAGCAGGGAGAGAAGGGATTTTTGAGGGAGAGTCGACCGCCGTTGGTGGGGAAATGCTTCGTATTACTGACTGCAGTGGGCTGAATGGCTCTGCTCTTCTCCCTCAGTCGCGAGAGTGGTGAAGTTTGTCAAAGGTCTCCACAAGGTCGTAGCTGAAGAAGGCAAGGAGGCGGTGTTCACGTGTGTCGTCTCCCCTGGTGACGCTGCCGTCACGTGGAGCCACAAAGGAGCCAGGATTGAAGCCAGCGAGAAGTACATCATTTCTCACCAGGGTGGGAGCCACAGCCTCACCATCCGCAACCTGGCTCTGAAGGATTCTGGTGAAGTCTCCACAGAAGCGGAAGGAATGGAGAGCAAAGCAACCCTCAGGGTGGAAGGTGAGACATGCAGGCACCAGAGAATCCATGCTTCAAAATACGATTTGTGCATGGTCAATTTAAGGCAGAGGAAAGGATGGTGAGGTTTAGCAGGTATGGCTTCTGCAGGATTTGATCCCTGTAATGATAGTAACTGGTATTTATATGTTGCCTTTTTCTAAAAGCCAACAACTGAAAAGTAATTGGTATTTGCTAGGTTAGTTGTTGGGCTTTTCATATAGAAGTGCTAATTATTCTTCAGTACTTTGGCTAATTATACTTTTGTTAGTGTCTGGAGATTCTTGGCTATTGATTGGTATAGAAAGTAGATAAATAATATTACTCATGGTATATATTGGAATATTTACCAGGTTTGTAAAATGTTACTTACAACATGGACCAACATGTATTTGTGCTTGCACGCACACAAATTTTTTAAAAAGCAAAGAATACAAGTTAGATCACAGGATAGATTATCCTACAAGGGTGGAACTAAACATGGCCAGGCAGAAGGGCCATCACTACCTCAAAGTGTGCAGGTGGGCAAGGTTTCATTTCTGAATGCTCCCCCATGTTAAAAACAGGGGCTGCTTGCAAGTAGAAATGTAGTGCATCAGGGAGAGGTTCTCCCTAGCTTTTTCTCCCCAAGCTGCTAGTTTCCCCCTTGCAAGAAGCTTTGCCATGGGGGGAGGGCGATTTTAAATCCCTTTTTCTGCCCTAACATTCCTACATGCAGGGAGTTCTTTATGTGGCAGAAATCAGCCTCGACCTGCAGCTTGAAGTCGTCCTGCTCCAGGCCCCAGTCTAAGGACTAAGAGAAAGGCTGATGGCAGCTGGATGGCGGGGACACGCTGAGCGCTGGGGAATCTGCAGCCACTGCGGCGGCATATCCACTCTGACTTTCAGCCTGAACCTTAAAAGAGCTACCCATGGTGTTGCACCCTCTTTCACAAACACAAGGGAACGGCTGCCCTGCCCCACTGGCACTGCCAGCTGTTCCACTGTTTCGCAAGATGCGGATTGCTGCGCTCAGCCACACCGCAGGCGAAACCCCGTGGTCTTCCCAGGCTGCATCGTGTCAGTTTTGCGACGGTGCCTGGATCTGTCACCTCTGCAGGCCACGGGCCACCCCGTCCCCTCTCTGTGCACAACCATTCCTAGGAGCTCATGTCGAGCTGTGTCTCACCGTGGCGGCTCCTATGCTCACTCCACGCTGCCTCGCGCGTGTGTTTCTTGCAGAGGCGCCGGTGGTGTTCGTGAAGAAGCTGGAGACCAAAACTGTGGAGGAGAAGGAGAGGGTGACTTTCGAAGTGGAGCTGTCAAAGCCGATTCCGAAGGTGAAATGGGCGAAAAATGGAAGCGAACTCCTTCCCAGTGACGACCTGGAGATCAAGGCTGATGGGGCCAAGCACAGCCTGGTGATTAAGAGCGCCAGCTCTGGGGATCGCGGCTATTACTCCTGCGAGACCCTCCAGGACAAGACCCAGGCAAAGCTGACTGTGGAAAGTAAGTCGGCGGTTGCAGGCCTTCCCTGGGGAGGCGTTTGCGGTATTGGAGTGACAGGGAGGAGGTGGGCCCACCCCAAGGACCGCAGCTTAAATGTTGGTGGTGTTCATTCGCAAAGTCGTGTCTAACTCTTTACAACCCCATGCATGGACAACCTTCCTCCAGGCCCTCCTGTCCTCCACCATCCCCCGGAGTCCACCTAAGCTCACGCCAACTGCTTCAGTGACTCCATCCAGCCACCTCATCCTCTGCCGTCCCCTCCTTCTTTTGCCGTCAATTGTTCCCAGCATTAGGCTCTTCTCCAGGGAGTCCTTCCTTCTCATTAGGAGGCCAAAGTATCTGAGCTTCATCTTCAGGATCTGGCCTTCTAAAGAGCAGTTGGGGTTGCTCTCCTCTAGGACTGACCGGTTTGATCGCCTTGCGCTCCAAGGGACTTGCAGTGTCTCCTCCAGCACCACAATTTCAAGGCCTCAGTCCTTCAGCGCTCAACCTTCCTTATGGTCCAGCTTTCACAGCCATGCATTGCAACTGGGAAAACCACAGCCTTGACTATATGCACTTTTGTCGGCAGGGTGATGTCTCTGCTTTTTAGTATGCTGTCTAGATTTTCCATCGCTTTCCTCCCCAGGAGCAAGCGTCTTTTAATTTCTTGGCTGCAGTCCCCGTCTGCGGTGGTCTTGGAGCCCAAGAAAATAAAAGCTTAAAAGTGCACAAGTTTTGTTTTGGAAGTTTATACATGCCCACCTAAAACTTTAATGTATGGATGGGCCAAATGCAGGTTTGGAAATGCATATACTGTAGTCGCGTAGTCACCAAAACCAGGACCAGCTCTTAAGTGTAACTCAGACACTAACCTGGGTTTGTGGGCCTGGAATGTGTGGAGTTGAATCACCTCAAATTGCTCATTTTGTGGAGAAAGGAAGGAACAACTTGCTTCTTCATCCTTTCTTGCGCTTTTTTTGCTGCCGCAAGTTGGCACCTCTCTTGAGTTAGAAGTTATAATGTATTTTTTATTATTATTATTATTATTATTATTATTATTATTATTATTATTATTATTACATTTCTATGCCGCCCCTTGCCGAAACCTCGGGGCGGCTTACAACATGATAAAATACATTGAAATACAATAGTACATAATAAATTACCATTTATTATTTATTTGACTTCTATGCCACCTGATTAGCCATAGAAATACTGTGGCTTCCATGCAGCCATAACCACAATAAAACGATACACTAAAATAGTAATGATCGATAAGTAATAATAGCAATTAAAAGTAAATTAAATTAATACATTAAGAAAGGGATCCAGAACAATCAATCAATAATGGAAAATAATTATACACCTCCATAAAATTATGAACCTGTAAAATTGTAGGATTAAAATGGTAGCAGCAACTAAAACCTTCAAAACAGTCCTTTAAAATCAAGCCCAAAAGATTCATGCTCCAAAATACCAGTGAAACAGAAAAGTCTTTTAGCAGGCTTCTGAAAGAGGGCTGGGTTGACCACAGCCCTCTCTTTGAGGGTTGGAATTCCATAGCTGGGGTGCAATGCAGGAAAATGCCCCCCCTCCTTGCCAGCTCCCCCCCCCCCCGCTCCACTCTGCCCCTCGCTGTGCCACTAGCCAAGTGCCTGCTTGCACAATCCTTCTGGGCGTTGAGCTGGTGCTTTTGCTAATCCCCTTGCTGCTCCACCTCCCCAAAACAAACCCACGATGCCTGCAGGCACACTCTTCCTTCTTGAGTGGTGGCATATCCACTGATCCAACCCAAAGGTCATTCCTTTATGATTTAAGCTTTGTTACATTTACATCCTGCTTTTCTTCCTTCTGCGAGGAACCATAGAACCATAGAATAGTAGAGTTGGAAGGGGCCAAGAAGGCCATCAGGTCCAGCCCCCTGCTCTTGCAGGACACCAGATTATACCATCTCACTCAAGGCAGTTCACATAATCCCTCCCCTTTCGATCTTCAAACAGCCCTGTAAAGCTGGCTTGGATGGGACTTGAACCCAGATCTTCTAACCCCTATACCTGACCTGTTGCATTGTCCAAAACCAGCCACAATGGCTTGTGAACCACACACAAGCCACTCTGGCTGGGTTCAGACAACTCACAACCATGGCTTGCGAGCATCCATGGCTTACTGCGTTGTGTGAAGCTAGGCATTGGCTCACCCCTGCAGCAGGTGGGGTGGATCATCTACAATTGCAGTTTAGAGATGAAACATCAGAAAAGAAGTTGAGGATGAAGGGCGTGATAAGCTGGTTGCATTTCCAGCAGACAACAATTAATAAAACTATCATGCATTTCTGGGCAACTTTACCCACAGATGCACCAGAGTTCTGGGTCTTTTGAAACCAAGATTCAAAATGGTGCACATTTGACATATGCTTGGGTTTCAAATACAACAATGGAAAAAAAATCTAGAATTTCTTGCCTGAAGCAAATACAAAGGTTAGAAACCTGGATTTTTTTTAAAAACAAGACCACATGTTTTTATAACAATTTAAAAAATCTGTGTGTGCATTCCTAATTTTAAAGGGCTTTAGAGGTCCTGCTCTATGGAGCGTTTAGCTTAATTTTTATTCCAGAAGAGATCGTGGATACTTTCTCAGGTTGGTCTAGTGAACAGAGAGTTGCCTGTTGTTATTTTCTCCTGGCTATTTTTAAGGACAACGCACACCTCTGCACCATTCTCTATCTCCTAGAGGCAGCCGAATCCCTCTGGATGGGATGGCCAACCTGAACCTTTTGGTCCCCCATCGCAAGCTTGCTGTCGTTTCCTGATGGGTGTTGGACACTTCTGCTTCCTCTTGAGTGTGGGAGGGCGGGAGGCGAAAGCGTTGGCATCATCCAAGCACATCTAATTCTTTATCACATGGATTTGTTTCTCAGTGAGGCCCATCAAGCTGGTGAAAGGTCTGCACCCAACGGATGTCTATGAAAAGGGCTCCGCCACATTTGAGGTGGAGCTGTCGCATGAGAACGTGGAAGTAACCTGGATGAAGGATGGTCTGCGGCTGAAGTCGCAGGGCAACTGCCAAATCCGCGTCGAGGGGAAGACGCATACCCTGACTCTTTCCTCGCTTGAGCAAGAGGACTCGGGCCTGGTCTCCTTCAAGGCCGAAGGGGTCCACTCCACAGGCAGGCTCAACGTCAAAGGTAGGCGTCCGCTGCACGCAGGGTGTCTGTTGGAGTGCCGGTGAGTTGGTGTGGCAGATGGGACCGGCCAGGGCTCCTGAGTGTCCGTTCCGTCCCTCCAGCCATTTAGCCAGCCACAGGGCGAGTCCGGACTTACCTCGTCCTATCCCTGCCAGTAGTGCTGATTAACACAGCTCCTTAAATTCTCAGAAGAGAATACATCATTTTAACCCCACTGGGTTGTTAATATGGATCAACGCAGCCGCCTGCTTTTTGTGGCTCTCCCTGGGAAGATCTGAGCACCTGCATTTCAACACGTGCCGGGGCTTCCCTGGGTGGGAGAAAAGAAACAGGGGAAAGAAACTGGTTGGAGACGATGCTGAGACCTGAAAGGCCCGGTCGTTATTCAGTTGCACCTGTAGTAACTGCACACCAGCGAGAAAGGAGTTCCTGCCACAGGAAACACTGGAGCCCTTAAAATGCCTGACTCTTAAGATCTTCTGTGGAAGTCCTTTTCCAAGCACTCCCCTTAAAGGAGGGCTGGTACAAGATGGGCCTTCACAGCGGTGGCACCTTGACTGTGGAATATGCTCCGTAGAAAGTTTCGTCTTTTCGGCATCAGACCGAAGCTTTTTCTTTAACCAATACTTAACGATAATAAATTGTTACTTTATGATTTAAATCTATTTTATTATTATTATTTAAAAACTTTATTATTTAAAACTTTTGTATGCCGTCCCTTAAGCATGGCATCTCAGCACGGCTTACGATCATTAAAACAACCACAATAAAACAGCAATAAATAACAATTTACCAAAAAATACAAATTAAAGAAGTTAAAGCGACTGTTAAACATTAAAATTTAAATTAGTTTTTAAAATAACAGTTAAATAAAAAGGTTTTCACCTGGCGCCGAAAAGAATATAAACTCGGCACCAGGAGAACCTCTCTGGGGAGCACATTCCATAATCTGGGTGCTACCACAGAGAAGGCCCTCCTCCGAGTAGATGTCCTTTTTACCTCCTTTAGGGAGGGTTCTTGGAGCAGGGCCTCTCCCACAGATCTTAAGGGGCATAATCAGGTACTGTTAATTGTTCTGATGTTTTTATTGTTGTAAACCGCCTAGAGGTTTCCAATGGAAATATAGACGGTATAGAGAAAAAATTGAGCAAATAAACTGGAGAGCATCTTTGAGCCAGGAGCTGTCATCCCAGGGTGTGTGTTGGCTGAGAGGCCATCTCCTCGAGAGGATGGCATATTGCTCCAGGGAACGAAGTCTTCTGGTTCCCCCCACTGGTATGGAGATGCTGGGCAAAAGCCACATGCATGGGATTTGGCTGAATCCACAACCCCGGCTCCATCCCTTCAGGTGACATTTCATGATGTGCGTGTGCTACCAGGCCACACAAGGGAATCTGGTTGCATTGTGGCTTTCACAAACACAGGGCTCTGTTTATTTTTGGCAGAATCCCCAGTGAAAATAATCAAACCTTTGGCAGACATCAGCGCCACACAAAAAGATGACGTAACCTTTGAGTGTGAACTTTCCCGGCCGAATGCGGACGTGAAGTGGCGCAAGGTACTGAATTTGCTTTCCAGGTGGCTTTTCCTACTTGAAGAATGTGGATGGGTGTGATTCGCTATCACCTGCAGCTCTCGGAGAAGGCGGGAGAAAAGATTTATTACCCTTTTGCCTGGAACTGACCCCGGAAAGAGGGGGTGCTAAAGTGCACGTTGCAGGGGGGTAGAGAAGGGACTTGGCCTTTGGAGTCTCTTCTGCCAGGCAATCTTGGGGAGCAAGACACCCCAAAAGGAGGTGCTTGCCTTCTAGATTGCTTTGGAAGGGTTGAGGTCATCTGCTGGGGTTTTAATTTGCAATTTAAGAGAGAACAAGCCGTGGTTTTGCATTCACACAAACATGCCGAGCGCTAAGAAAGGAAAGGTCATCAGAAAAACAGAGCAGGCACAATGTGGTCCAGACAGCACATATTCCCATTCTATCCCAATCTTACTCTATATTTCGAAAGAGAGACAGAGCTTCCTGCCTGGCATAGAGAGAGACTAGCATGAAGAAGGGGGGACCTGTTACCTGTCCCGCAGCGGCAGAGTGTTGTGTCCAGCACTCTTGCAGCGGGGAGAGGGAGAGAGTCCTTCCCAATGCCCTGATACCGTGTCTCTCTGCACATGTGACCTATGGGGCAGATGGGCTTCCCGAGCTTGTGCTGATTGCCGGAGGGGGCTTGATGGCTTCTGGGTGGCCTCAAGTGTCTCTGAGCAAGAGGAGAGTCCTTGTCTCTTCACCAGGTGCGATGGGGAGGTCCCTGCCAGGTGTCTCTTACAGGGCTGTTTTGCCTTAAGAGGGAAATGCCCGACCTCTTGTCTGCATGAAGTCCAGCATTCGCTCTTCTCTCACGCAGGCCAGCCCAGGATACTGGGACAATTTTTTTCTGGATTCAAGTCTCCCCAAGATGGTCCATGGCCTAAAGACCCATTCTGGCTTGGGAGCTGACGGTTGTGGCGCCAACATTGATGCAAACATGTATTACATGCTTTAGTGCCTGGGTCACAGGCCCGTGCAAATGGAAAAAACCTAGGCCGCTCCCTGGCAATGTCAGAGGTCATAGGAATGCATCCTGCATTATTTTATTTATTTATTTATTTATTTATTTTATTAAAACATTTTTATGCCGCCCCATTCGCCAAAGCCTCGGGGCGGCTCACATCAATAAATTAAAATAATTATAATATAAATTAAAATATAAATATAAAATTAAAATACAACAGTACAGTATAAAATAAGCCGCCCTGGCCAGATAAAACCAATAATGTTAACAGTTAAAATGCCGCTTGAATAAAAAGGTCTTCGCCTGGCGCCGAAAACAAATAACGAC